ATATATTATCTAGAATATCTCCAAAATTGCACGGCACACTAAGTTTTTTTAATGCTGAGACATAATGTTTTATGGATTCGCCTTCAAATTGAAATCTCGCATTAAAATAAAGCCTAGCGGCAATATCTTTATCCATAGGTGCATAAATTTCCTGTAATATTGATACAATCACTTCATATGATAGCACGGTAGGATCAACAGGATCTATTTTTAATCGAATCTTCCAAAGAGCTATAACGTCGACCGAAAATAATAAATATTGCCCTTTTAAATCATTCGGTACGTCAAATAGTTCCATTACATAATCAAAATAATTAATCCATTTAAAGAAATGGATAAGTCTCTGATTATATCTTACAATGAGAAGAAGAATTTTTGTATCCAATGTCGGCAAAATATCCGATGCTCTTGCAGTAAACATTTTTCAGAACTGTTTTAATTTATTTCTTTCACTATTACTGTAATTTTCTCTACGTAGTTTTGATTATGTATTTCGCAATTGCATTAACAACTTGAGGCTTTCTTTTCTAATAATTTATTACTCATGTAAGATCCTGATATTAGATCAATATACAAATCTTGGACGAAACTATTCAGAAAATGTATTCTTATGATAAATATGTACACTTGTGATATGCTCGGTGTCTTGTATGGATGAGAAGTGAGAATAAAAGGAGAAGAAGATGAGTTTTGTCTTTCTTCTTCTATTTACCCCACTGATTTATCTTCTTCGTTGCGGTACGTAATGTATTTATGATGAAGGTCCTCTATAGTCACAGGTTATATTAAATTATCAGTATATACCCAACATCAATATACAATTTAACGAAACTGTCTATTTAAGTTCATTAAGTAAACATTTTTTACTTTAATCATTATATTCCTGAATTATTTTATACATGCAAAATTCTACAAAATCAGTATTATTCTTACAAAATGTGTTTTGGTAATGGCACCTATGCATTTATACTTAAAAGATATTTATATATCTAAAATCAATCTTACAGAATATTTTGTAGTGGTATGGATGATTGAATTAGTGTTATGAACGAGACAGTTTTGGATGTGTATGTGAGGTACGATGAAAACGTACAAACCATAAAAGTCTGAAAGAAAAATCGAAGAAGGGATAATGAAACGCGTGACGTTGCGAAGTGAAAGGGTGTGAGTTACTGCTACGAGTATGCAAGGAATTATTATATACGTGTATTCTAGAAATATCGAAAGCGCGAAATAAAGAACAAACAAAAAATAAGGGTCACTTGTTGGTTCTTGCGAGTTTTTGAAAGCACGAAGGAAAGAAATTTAAAAAAATTCTGTTACTTGCCAAATTTTAGTAATATATGTGACATTGCATGCCAATTCAATTTACTGTAAAATTTGATACTTTTGATTTATTTTCAATTTTATTATTATTTTGTACTCCGTGAAAAAGAGCTTTCTGATTCTTTTCCAATTTTTTAATTAAACCATTCACGAAATATAAAACTTT